ATGAATTTGACTCCAAAGTTGGTTTTATACAATCTACTAAACTGTTCTGGTTTCTGTATCCTCGCTGTGTCCTCCAGCATCATCTTAAAGAATAAGTTTCCATCTCCTGTACTGGTTGACTCTGCCAACTGAAGGTGAGACTTGGAATCAAATTCATACTTAATAATAAGGCCATTTAAAACCAAATTGGACATACTCTGTTGCTGGTTTAGGCTTGACAAAAGATGAACTTCACTTTAAGATGATAAGGTACAGAGCTACTCTTTCTTTTGGACAACACCTAAGTAACAGATTATGAAGATTTTTTTTTTTTTCTTTAGAGTAATTCAATCCTTCTACAGGTGAAGTATTGATTTTTTTTTGTTTTGCTGTGACTGATATACAAGTTTCTGGATGACGGTGAGAGTTGTACTGGGGAAATATTCCAACTCTACCTCTCACTCTGACTCTTATTTATCTTTGATTTTTCTAAATCTGGAGCTTGTCAAGGATTCTTACAGAAGAATTGACTTCCTCTTCTGTTTTCTGGCCCTTGGCAGTTGCTCTGCTATGTACTGACATCTCAGTCATATTTTGTATTCTAGAATTTAAAAAAATTCTAGTTGTTTGTGATCCTTCTTTGAGTCTCTTTGCTATTGGTTGTTTTGTCCTTTTTTATTCCATTATCTTCATATTACTCCAATGATTCTTACACATCACATTTTCTTTTCTTACAATTTAACTTAAAATATGATAGGGAAAAGAATCTAGAAGATAAATTTGGCTCTCTGTTTTAGAAGTAAGGAAAGGCAGTTTCAGTAGAACAAAAAAGTAGGATGGTAAACCAGCACTCTACAATTACTAGGTAATGTGGTTCAACTAAAATTCCTTTGAGCACACTGAAAATGTTTAGCAACGCCTCCCAACTGTTGAATCACAATCATGGCCCTCACTTACTCACAGAACTTTCCACTGATTCATAATATTTACATAGCCATTCTTCAAAGTATCTTGTTGGGCTCTCTAAAACATTTCCTTCCATTTCTCTTGCCTCTCCTCTGACTCCTTGGCAGTCTCCTTTGCCATGTCTCCCTCCTCTGACAACCATACACTATTTCTTTTCACAGAGGATTCATGTTGCCAATCGATTTATAAGTAATATGACACTTTTTCTGCAAAATTCATTAAGTGTTACTCGAAGTTTGTTTTTTTGGAAAGTAAATTCTTCCTTTAGAAAGTGAGCTAGCAATCTTATGTTCTAAACTTAGGTATTTTTCAGTACTTTTTAAACATTTGGGCATAAAAGAACTGAAATCACAATTTGCCTTTAAGTTTCACTTTACATATGGACGAAGACAAGAAACTCACTCTTCTCTCTCCTCTATTTCTCTGGAAAACTAATTAGGTGATATTAATGAAACAAAAAAACATAAACTGATTTTAATTGATTTTTGATTAATTACATATTTTTCCCACCAGTACTTCTTTATAACGTAGATCCTAGATATAACACGGTGGAATGAGCTTGTGTCTGACATTTTGTGATTGACTGTGGTTTATACCTATATGAAATAGAATAAAAATAAAAATATGATGCTTTCCCTTTAGCTTTTACAAATCAGTTCTCTTATTTAACCTTTACAATAACCTTATAATATGAGTTATTTTATATAGATAATAATAGTAGCAAATTATGAATGAAGACTTCTGGGTTCAAATAATCCACGTTTAAAGAGATTGTTACTGGAAAGCAAAACATTTGTTAATACATAATGCCAAGGTCCTTATCTCACAATGTCTAAGATTGTGTGTGGTCCTTCAATTATATTTTTTGCATATGGATGCATATTGGAATCTACATATATTTTGTTAGTTTTGCTATTATCTCACAGGTCCCCAAACGCTTCATTTATAAAGTATATTTTTCTCTTTAATCTTCAAATACAAATATTTCTATTGATTCATCTTCCAGTTTCCTGTCTTTTTCCCTTGTCATCTCCATTCTGAGCCATTCCAAGATTTTTAAAGTTCAGATACTGTATTTTTTCAGTTGTAAAATTTTTCTTTTGGTTTTACTGTTAATTTCCATTTCTCTGCTATGATATTCCATCCCATTCACTCTTGGAGTGCTTTACTTTAGCTAACGTAGCACAATTACTTTTTCCTTCCTTCCTTCCCTCCTTCCCTGCTTCCTTTCCTTCCCTTCTACCCTGCCTCCCTTCTGTCCGTAGAGAGAACCTTTTATACTCTTCACCCCAGGTTCTCCTAATGGTGACATCTTATATAATTTTTAGTAAAATATCAAAACCTAGAAATTGATATTGGTACTACACTGTTAACTACACAACAGCCCTCATTCAGTTTCACATTTTTTAC